CGTCCTCAACCGTATTTCTGAAGGCCTACGTCCATAGAACAATCCTAAAACTCAAGCCAGCCTAATTTTACAACACCTTTAAGAAACCTGAATAATTTCCTGCAGACATATTAATCAGATGATCCCCATATTTAATATATCAGATCCTCATATTAATCAGACACCAGATCCCCATATTAAATATTAATCAGATCCTCATGTTTGAATAGTAATCAGATCCCATATATTACATTAATCAGATCCCAGAATCCCCATATATTAAATTAATCAAATCCCCATATTTTACATTTATCAGATCCCCATATTAAATATTAATCAGATCTCCATACCAATCAGATCCCCATACATTAAATATCCCTATACATAAAAATCCCCATATATTACATTAATCAGATACCAGATTCCCATATTAATCAGATCCCAGATCCCCATATATTAAATTAATCAAATCCCCATATTTTACATTTATCAGATCCCCATATATTACATTAATCAGATACCCATATTAAATATTAATCAGATCTCCATACCAATCAGATCCCCATACATTTAAATATCCCTATACATTAGAAATCCCCATATATTACATTAATCAGATACCAGATTCCCATATTAATCAGATCCCAGATCCCCATATATTAAATGAATAAAATTCCCATATTACATTAATCAGATCCCAGATCCCATATTATTAAGATCCCAGATCCCCATATATTAAATGAATAAAATTCCCATATTACATTTATCAGATCCAAGATTCCCATATTAATCAGATCCCAGATCCCCATATATTAAATTAATCAAATCCCCATATTTTACATTTATCAGATCCCTATATATTACATTAATCAGATTCCAGATCCCCATATTAATCAGATCCCAGATCCCCATATATTAAATTAATCAAATCCCCATATTTTACATTTAATCAGATCCCATATATTTACATTAGTCAGATCCCAGATTCCCATATTAATCAGATCCCAGATCCCCATATTAAAATTAATCAGACCCCAGATCCCCATATTATTCAGATCCCCATAATCGCTTTGCAGTCATCAGGAACAAAGCAGCTTTTTAACTAAACAGGGCTTTCAGGTTGTTAAATCCTAAAGCATTTGAGGATTTGGACTAGAATTAGTTTGAGGGAGAAACACTTACAGTTGAGTGTTTCCAGTACAGGATGATTTCGGGAATGTTCTCGGCAGGTTGCAGCGTGGGATACTTTTTCCACTCGTTCCAGTCAATAGTCATTGTGCCATTTTTGTCCATGCTACAAGAGGAAAGACAGTTTACAGCCTGGAAACAAGCTCTGCGCTAAAAGAAAAAAAAATCTAACAAAGCACTGACTCAATTCATTAAGAGATCAATGCATTTATATAGTTATAAACTAACTGGAAGTGTGTAATATACAAAAGCTAAACATATGAAGGTAAATGAAACCAGTTTCAAGAACTTTAGGAGTCAACCAGGGAACATTGCCAATTTTTTTATCCAACAATATTTCACCTATTAAGGACTTTCTCCGCTTGCTGCAGGGAAATATAGACGCCAAGATCTCGCAAGGAGTTCACAATGTCACTGGCGTTCACTTGACCTGACAAGAAACAAATTAAAGAAGATGTCAGTTATTTAAAAAAAAAAACAACAAGTTTTGAGTTTGTAAATCAAGTAATGCATTGCATCAAGGTATAATACCAGCTTTCTTTCTATCCAGGCTTTTGAAGACAAGCTTCAGGTCTTTCTCGTGGTCTTGGAGGTAGTGAACAAACTCTTCAAAGTCCAGCTGCCCATCATGCTCTTTCTCTTCATTTTTCAGTGTTTTCTGTGGGAGGAAAGACAATTTTTAATGCAACCAAATCTAATTAGTGTGCGCAACCACGAATATCCAAAGCATTCCAGCAGAAAAATCATTGCACAAGTGTGAATACCGACAGCTGGAAAACTAGAACAGAGGGAATGAGTGTCTTTAGTTATTAGACGGGAAACTATGCAGATACAGGCTTAAAAGACACCTGACACAATACAAGACCTGTGAAACCCAGGTAAGTGTCTGTGCGTTTCACTAATACTACAAGAAAAGTTTTAATAATATTAACTACTGACTCACAAGGGAGCATTAAGTCATAATCAGATCAGACTCTCAGTCTCCTGTCATTAAAATGACTGAATGCATTCTCTAGAAAATCTGATCATGAGATTATAATCATGTTTGTACACTCATCCCGATTATTGCAGCAGCTCAGACAATCATAATCTATAAACTTATGGACCTATCAATTCTGATGGTCTCATTGAAACTGCACCACTAGGGGCGCCATACAACCTTCATTTAAAAAAAAAGATTACATAAAAGTATGAATCTTGAAGTTGTATCTAAAATTATTAAGTTACAGTATCATGGTGTTGATAAGGCTATAACGCTGAACAGATTATTGATGCACTTTATTTAGTCAATAGTTTTTTAAAAGGGGATGGTTCACCTAAAAATGAAAACTTGTCAAAATAACTTGTGTTCTGCAAATGAAAGAAATTCATACAGGTTTGGAACAACTTGAGGATAAGCAAATTAGAACAGAATTTAAATCTTTTGGGGGTGACCTGTCCCTTTAAGCGCTGTGGGGACACTCCAAATATGGTCATTTTCACGGAAACGCGCGCGCAGGAAAGAGGAACGAGCACCGGAAACGTCATGCGTCAAAAATGTGTAGGTTCTTTAAAAAAGCGAGAGGAAAAAAGTGAACTACTTTTTACTTTATTCAAAGGTCCGCTTACATTGAATAATATGTAAAGAAAGATTAGAAAGAATGTACATGTGATTTGATCATTTTTACCTTCTTCCATTTTCTGTATGTAGAGAATTCCTGCGACGGCAGAAGGACGCTGAGAGACTTGAGCGACTTCAGCTCGGACGGTAATCCATTCGACTCAAAATAGTCCACCTCGACGTGATCTGAATTATGGACAGGCACATAAAGGCACAGGCACAACATCTTCAAAAAAGTAAAAGTCTTCGACGATAAATAAATAAATAACACAAGAACACTATCGCCTGCCGGCGGTGAAACGCTGAAATGCCGGTAACGCTGCTGGGCTTGTCTAGAAAAGTCCTTAGACACGCCCACTGAGTGAAGGAGGCGGACTCTGATTGGTCACCGGGTTCTACGTATTTAAACATTTGAACGCCTTAAAGTCTGAAAGGCCAATCACGGCTGGAAGCCATTGATTTCGTGTGTAAATCAGGCCCCTCCTCTTTCACTACTAAACTCCAGCCTGAGCCGCCAGAAGAGACATCATGTGACATTCTGTGAAATTTCAATGGAAGTGACTCATAGAATTTCACATTTTCTCACAGGGAACAGAGAAACCGACATAGACCTATAATATACTGTATATCGTCCCTAAACTTAGTTAACATGCCTCAAATCAGGGTTGTAGTTAACTTAGACCTTTAAAACATTTTTTACTTGTAGGCCTACACATCAAACTTATTTTATTTCAGCTGGTTGCAAAGGCAACATGAATCATTTTCATTTGGTTTAACTTTACGTAGCATACTAAAATAACAAATAATAGAGTATAAAAATAATTAAATATAACACCTCAAAAGTTTTAATTTCTGAAAAAAATTCATGAGTTCGAACTTATTTAGTGTGATTTTGCTTATTTTTGATAATAAGTCTGAATAAGTTGGGCTATTAGGTTGGCTATTTTGGTTCAACTAATTTCTTTATTCATTTACTTAAATGTGAACATGTGTTTGCATAATTGAACTGTTAGTACCTGTTTCATATTAAATAACAAAAAAATACTACACTCACTTTCATGAGGTCTCCTTTTACCTCACATTAATGTGCATTTGCACATGTTTGTGATTATAGAATTAACCGTGCATATAGAAAACTTTTCTCTTAAATTGTCTTTAAAAAAGTCAAATATTGTTAAATAACACATCTGAAGTCAAACATAACCAATAACAGTGTACAGGTCAGTACAGGATATTTTCTTGGTTATAGCAGTAATTATCGTTAATAGGCCACGATATAAACGGCGACTCGTTAGGCCTAATCCTGCAGAAAGCTGTCTCCGGTTGCAGAATTACGTCAGAGTCTGGAGGAGGATCAGTGTCCGTGCCAATTTCTGAATTTCGTGAATTTCTAAATCTTTTCATTTAATTTAACTATTAAACGTTTAATTCTTCTCTCATGGCAATTGTTGCTGGGTTGTTTTAACCCAACTTTGGGTCAAATATGGACAAACCCAGCCATTGGGTTACATTTTTTTTTTAAATTACATTTTTAACCTAACGTTTTGGGTTTGTCCATATTTGACCCAAAGTTGGGTTAAAACACCCCAGCACTTTTAGAGTGTATGACTTAATTAGTGAGCTTGCACTGATTTGCTCATGTTTTTTGGTTTGTGGGTATTTTATTTCCGTTACTCTCCGACCAAAACAGGTCTTATCTTACACTCTAAACGATGCTGGGTTGTTTTAACCCAAAATTGGGTAAAATATGGACAAACCCAAATGTTGGGTTAAAAATGCAATTTAAAATTTTAACCCAACTTCAACTTTCACTTAGTTGCAACTGTACATTTTTTTAATTGGATTAACCCAACATTTGGGGTTGTCCATATTTGTCCCAAATTTGGCTTGAAATAACCCAGCATTTTTAGAGTGCATCATAAGAGTTGAGTATCTGTAACACAATCCAGGGGAGCCTGAGGACGGTAGTGCACTCATGTACTTGTATGCAGCGTCGCATCAGGCTGGCCATAGGACTGAATGTGACTCCTGTGCTCTCTAAAAACTAATTTTAGCCATAAGTCACACGCTTCGGGGATCACTAAGGGGGATAGACGCGGGCTCTGGGAGTCACAGAGCTCCTATTTCGTCAAGCAGGGTTGAGAGAAAGACAACTGCTTCTGTGTGAATGATGTTTGATTCATTCAAGACCTTTGTCGTTCACAGAGTGATGCAGCTGATAAAGTTGAGCCACATTTCTGTTTTTTACATTCCTCTTGTTTCAGATCCAAAAAAATAAAAAAAATAAATAAAAAAAATAAAAATAAATCAATCAGTTTTTACGTAAAAAAAATGGTTTTTTTACATGTATATGTGGGGTTTCTAAGAAAAATATTATTGGTTTAACTTAAAAAATGAAGTAACCTGGCTGCCTTAAAAATGTAAGTTTATTGAAATGAAAAAATTGAGTTAATACAATGAAGGAGATTGATTTAATCATCAGAAACTCAAAATATTATGTTATCTGAGCTACATAAATTATTGAAGTTGATTTGACAAAAGAAAAAATGTGATTACAAATCATGAAAATATTTTTTTACAGTGCAGTTTTCATTAATTCTCACAAATAATGACAAAGATAAGACAGGTCGCACAATTAAGCATGAAATTAAGAAGTAGACTGAAATATTTTCTTTGTAAAACATTCTCCAATATTTTTTGTTTTATTCACAACTTTGAAAAGATCACCGTTTATTTTGTCTTATTCTGTTAACTTAACTGTCACCGTCCCACAGGTGGGACGTTTGCCACTATATTTTTAAAACAATAATATCTTAGTAAATACCTTAAATAATATTGACAAACTATATATCATTTGAAAGCTTACAATCTCTAGTTTCCATATTTGGTGACTGATTTTCAAAATATATTACAGAGGAGCCATAATTTATCAATATAAAACAAGAATATTTTCATACTCATAAGGCGTGTTCAGACCTTTATTTTAAAATAGCAGTAAACATGAAATATCATGAAAAAATGGTAGATACCTCAGTTTGTTTTCATGCCAAAAGTTCAAAAGATAGAATCCATTCAATTATTTTGGAAAAAAAAGGTCTGAAAAGTTTGAAATATCAAGAAAAAAATTATAAATTCACCATTTGTGACGTGGCAGCTAGCTATGACTTACATGCGTGTTCTTTGTATGTGTTTCTTAGAGGTTCAATTCATATCAAAATCTGCCAAACTTCCCATGCTACTTCTGAATAGGATCTCTACTTCATAAATTGTATGAAAATTGTGGAAATAATGGTTCATATCACTCAAAACACGAATGGAAATGCAGGCGCCCTTATATGGGCAGTAATGGAGTCTGATTGTCTCCTAGTGAAAAAGTTTGGTACTGCGCTCAAACAAAATCTTACTGAAAGCTCATTTTTTGAGATATCAACCTAAAATTTGAAACACAACTTGTTCAGATTTTTGGCTTTGATTTTTCTGCCATTTTAGAGTAGCCCAGGTTTTGAAAATATATATTTTATGTAAAATATGAATAATTTATATTTTTGCATTGTACATTTCCATAAACTCAAACCTCTATAACTTTTTTTCTGTTTCACTTTCTTAATTTATTTCACTTCTACAAAAATCTGCCAAATGTCTTCTTTAAAACAAGACCAATCATATGTCTATATTCCAAAGCATTCTTGAATTACAACCATTTAAGTTCGAAATGTGCATTTTTATGTCTATTCAAAAAAGGGGGGGTGACAGTTAACAGGTTAAATATTCTTAAATATGGACGCGGTGTCTAACTAAAAGTGTTCTTGAGTGAAAGTAAAAAGTGTCCATATTTATTTATACTTAAAAGGAACATGTTCAATGCATGGTTTAGATGACTATAGTGAAAAGTTACATTCATTATTAGTGTTAAATAAGCTTCATTTGACTGTAATTTGACTTGATGTCAGCTCAGTAAGAAAAATATTTTTAATAAGTCATGATCGTCATTGAAATATTGCCTTTTAAGGTGTAATTTATAAATGCTACAGAGTACAAATACAAAGTATAATAATATACAAAAAAAGCATAATAATGAAATACAACCATTCGTGTATACTTTACACCCCTCGGGTCATAATGCTGTTCTGAACAAAAGTTATGAAACTTGTTGTTTCAGGTAAATGTTCTGATCAATGGACTGGCCAATCGCCCGTTCGAACCGTTTTTATCTGTTTATGTCACATAATATATGATAAACGGCTCATTCATAAAGAGCTCCATACATTCAGACTCAGAGCAATTAAAGGTGTGTATTATTAACCACAGTACAGAGGTCAGGTCGCTTGAAAGTCCTGTGTTTGTTTGCTCTCGATCTGGATTACGTCTGATATATCCCTGAAATGCGTCCGATAAACTTCACCTGGAGGAGGTCAGATTGACAGATGCAAAACAAGACGTGTTATCTCTCGTGTTACGTGCCATTACCTGCTTCGGTCACTGTTTGTCTCTCAATAACGGGATCAACAGCCATTCTGCCGCGCTCTTATCCACAGAAACAGGAGAAAAGTGCAGAAATGCTCTTCCTGATATCACAGATCTATATAATAAAGGACTTTCAATAAAAAACAACAACACATTTTCACAATTTAACCATTCAAAGGTCAAGTTTTTTTATTGTTTGTGAAAGGAGTCTCTTCTGCTGCATTTACTCTCAGAAAAAAAGGTACAAAAGCTGTCATTGGGGCGGTACCTTTTCAAAAGGTACACTTTTGTACCTAAAGGGTGCATATTGGTACCTTCATGGTACATATTTGTACAATTATGGCACCAATACGCACCCTTTAGGTACAAAAGTGTACCTTTTTGAAAAGGTACCGCCCCAATGACAGCTTTTGTACCTTTTTTTCTGACAGTTTTGATCAACAATACAGTAAAACAGTGAAACATTAGTACAATGTAAAAGAACTGTCAGTATACAAGTGTAATATGTAAGTGTAATTTATTCCTGTGATCAAAGCTGTATTTTCAGTATCATTCCTTCAGTGTCATCCTTCAGAAATCAACATTTCTGATTATTGTTGATGTTGAAAACAGTCGGCAGGCCTTTAAACAGTGTTGTGTTTTACATTCAGAAGTACTACATGCAAGAAAAACCTCAACATTGTTGTTTTGACGTTATCATGTTGATGCATTACCATAAAAAACACATGAAATTCAGATTTTGGCATACAGGTGAAACTGGAAAAATTTGAATATGGTGCGAAAGTTCATTTATTTCAGTAATTCAACCTAAAAAGTGAAACTAATATATTATATAGACTCACTACATGCAAAGTCAGATATTTCAAGCCTTTATTTGTTATAGTTTTGATGATTACGGCTTGCAGATATGAAAACCGTTTCACAATATTCTAATTTTGAATTTGTGGGTTTTCATATCTGTAAGCCATAATGATCAAAATTATAACAAATAAAGGCTTGAAATATCTCACTTTGCATGTAGTGAGTCTATATAATATATTAGTTTCACTTTTTAGGTTGAATTACTGAAATAAATGAACTTTCGCACCATATTCAAATTTTTCCAGTTTCACATGTTAAGGCTATATTAAATGAGCCATGGAGTTTTGCAATGAGAGTTTAGTTTAATCATGACCAAAACAAAAAGTCCTGCCAGATCCGTGAATACCATAGTGAAAGACTATAAAAAGACTCTTTAAGAACATCACAATCACTCACAGCGTGTTCAACATTTCTGTGCTGTTGGCCAATACTACAGCTCAAGAACACTGTCTTCATGTACGACATCGACATGTGTTTAAAGACATCCCGTTCTTTCATCAGGGCCAACAATGATCTTTCAGTACATTCTACGAGCCCGAACTCAACCAATAATGTAAAAAACAAACAAAAATGCTGTACTAAAGAGATTATGACAGACTCACTCTACACGAGGAACTTCATTTGCATGTCTGACCTCAATCTTGCTCCCAAATGTCTGCGAACAAGAGCCAAATTCTCAGAAATCTGCAAATGAGAACAATAAAACAAATAAGGTTTAGCTTAGCGAGGGCAATGCAATGTGTCCATTTGAAACTATTTAGTGCATAATATAAACTCGAAAAATGTGAATATCGTGCAAAAAGTTCATTTATTTCAGTAATTCAACTTAAAAGGTGAAACTAATATATTATATAGACTTGCTACATGCAAAGTGAGATATTTCAAGCCTTTATTTGTTATAATTTTGATGATTATGACTTAAACCCCAAATTCAAAATGAGAATATTGTGAAAAGGTTTTCATATCTGTAAGTCATAATCATCACTTATAACAAATAAAGGCTTGAAATATCTCACTTTGCATGTAATGAGTCTATATAATATATTAGTTTCACCTTTTAAGTTGAATTAGTGAAATAAATGAACTTTTGCACCATATTCTCATTTTTTCCATTTCACCTGTTGGTTTTGCTCACTTTAGAAAGAATGAATCCTTACAATGTACTTGGATGTTGTGAACACATCTTTAACCCTTGTGCTGCATTAGATTTTTAACACCGTTGAGTGCATTAAGGACCAAAAATGGCCACATATTAAACATTGCCTAAAATATTATATATTATTATTATTTTCCACTTTTACCAAGTTAAATCTTTTAACCAGCATCAGTCCTCATCATAACTACCAAAAATGTATTCAATTTCAGGATTTTAACCCTTTAATTACCAGTTTTGTTTGCGAAACCATCGATTTGTATAAGAGGAAAAAACACAAAAATTCAATTATTTTCAATAAACTAAATGCAAAGAGAAAACTTTAGATTTGGATTATCACAGTCCCACTTTGCAAAAAATCCCACTTAGCGCGTTAGAGACCAAGAATGGCCACCTATTAAACATTGCCTATTGCCTAAAATAAGGTGCATTTCCACCCATAAGGAATAAATATGTAGTGACGTCATCTGGTGGAATACACTATATAATGCAAATATAATGCTTTTGCTTCAAAATGAAAGGATGTTTGTGTAAAAATCATGTTTCATGTATTACTGACAGCCTCAGATTTAAACAACGTTTTAATGGGTTTCAATGGGCCATTTTTGGTCTTTATGGTGCTGAGTGTTACTATTTGATCTACACAGTGTGTGTTATACATATTTTGCAAAATGGGATCACATTTTTTACATGTATCCAAAAAGTCACAATTTTGCCAAATTTCATACCATTTGCATTAAAACAGCCAAAATGGTCAAAGAAATTAAACTGCAAAAGACCAAAAATGTCCCTAATGCAGCATAAGGGTTAACAGCAGAACAGCAATATCACAGTGATGCATCACATCAGTGTGATCACTATCGAGGTTTGCTTGTGTGTTTGCTGTTACGAGGCAGCGCCTCTCATTTCATTTCAATAGGTGACTTAATTCTGAGAATTCAGTTTTATAAAGCTATAATGTAAATGTGAATTCTCCGAACGGTCCCGCTTGATCTATTTCAGTCCATTATTTCTAGCCATTGTCAAAGACACAGCCCGTTATTATGAGATCCATACATGAACTTTAAAAGCCCTGTTCTGTAAAAATTGCTTTATAAGTTTGCACACAGGTCAAATCTTTATGATGTGGACATATTCACACAAGCTTGACAATGCTGGAAAATCCTGTCAGTGTTCTTCAAAGTATTTTTAGGCTGTTTTGTTTTGCCAGCAAGTCTGAGAGGATATACGGGCCGCTGTTTATTATGGGACACTTTGGGTTTCCTTGTCGACCGACCAATACAAGTACAGTCCAGAAACTTCTGTTTACTGGTGGAATGAAAACACAGAATCTGAAAACAGCGCCTCATAATTCACAGATCCGGATGTAATGTTATTTTTGCACTATATAGTCATTTTTCATTGTCACTGAATTATTATGTTTCTTTTGATGATTTTATAAAATTGTTGTGGGAAAAAACCTGCATAACGGGTGCATGGACAAAATATTAACATGAAAAAGTGGTATAAAAATTGGATGGATGGATGGTTTCCTATTGCTCACGTAGAACTGGAACTGATTTAGATGGGAAACAATATTTAAAACATTGTCAGTGAAGTTTAAATGTACTTTAAAACATAAAATAATTTATCAAGGGTGGTTTTATATAAAACCACAGAGTTTTATATAGCCTAATAAAGAATCACGTGGTCTTTAAAAATTAAAAAAAAAAAATTAATATAGTTTTTTCATATTTCCTTTAACATGGTGGACATACTAATATAAGGTTGACCACATCAAATTTGGGGTTGCCCAAGTTGTTTTCCCTCTAAAGAAGTAATGACTGCTTTATGATATGATGTCATTTAATTCGTCCATTTTTCATTTAAAGGGAAAGTAGTAAAAAATAACAGGGTAAACAATGAATTGAGGGACAAGCCAAAAACGTTCATTATAATTGTTAAAATAAATGTAATGATAATAATACAAATACATTAGAGAGAATCATATCCAACAATGGAAAAAAAATTAAAAAAGAGATCGTGTATAGTAGCCTAAGTGTTGTGTTTATTATGAAAATATGCAATATGGGCCTGTGAACTGTATTTTTTTTAGAGTTCAGATTGTGTTATTTTTTATGACAACAATTGATATTGTTCGATCATATATTGGGGAGAGACAAATAATCACCCAATTATGTGAAACTGTTTGTTAGTTTATTCAGCATTAAAGAAGCAGCGTAAAATAAAAATAAATATAAACTGTACACACATTTATACATGTATGTTATTAAATAGCTCCCTCTTCTGGCTGACAAGAAATCTAGCCACGCAAACGTAAGGTCTGATTGATCACAGTTTCCACAAATGAAAAGAAAGATCGTCATCGTCACAAGGGAGTCTAAACCAATGGGAATTGTAAGAAGCGACGAAGGGGCGGGACTTCAGCCATTTGCGGCCGCAAACGTTGTTGTTGGAAGAGAAGTCGATTCAAGAAGCCATTACGCTGCGCAATTGTGTCGGGTCAAAAACTTACTATTTTTGCGTATTCTACGCAATTTTATAAGCGCCCTTGCGTTCAATTTAAAAACATTATGGCATCTCAGGCCAAAAGGAGAAAAACCAATTTCTCCGAAAGGGAGGTGGAGATCATCGTGGAGGAGATGGAAAAGCAAAAACACATTTTGGTCAATCACTTTAACGCGGGCGTCACGCACATCGCTAAGAACAACGCGTGGGTGGAGATTCTGAAACGCGTGAACGCCGTCAGCACCTGTCAGCGCGAGCTCGCCGAAGTCAAGAAGAAATGGTCCGATCTCAAGACCGAGGTGAGGAGAAAAGTGGCCCAGGCGCGGGCGGCCATGGAGGGCACGGGCGACTGCACCTCCGTACCCGTGATCCTGACCTCCATGCAGCAGCGAATCTGCAATCTACTGGGAGAAGCGACCATCATCAGCCTCCCGGCGGCCGAGGCGGGCGCGGAGATCGCGGTGCCCATCAGCTCCTCGGCCACCGTAACGCTCACGCAGAGTAAGACACTAGCGCTACCGCTGCGTAACTTTCAGTGCGTAGAGTCACTTACTAATTACTTTGCTTCCGTTATTTTCACCCTGCTAAAAACACTTTACGCCATGAACTACTGGTAGAAATAGATTTGAGCCATAGATACTACCCCACTTGATCAATCATTCACAGTACACGAAGACAATTGTGTTGTTTTTCTTGAAATGTTGATGTAATTAAGATCTATCTGATTAAATATGGACTCATTTGCAGTCTTGGTTGTTACTAATTACTAAGTATTTTTTTCTGTAAATACAGTTACTTCTGATGTCATAGACTATAGAATAATTCTATATAAAAAACAATAGTGGATTAAACAAAAATAATGTTAAAATGTAAATAATGTAAAAAAATAAAATATATGTATAAAAACTTTCATTGCGTAGCATCAGAAATAGCCACTTACTTCCGTTATTTTCACCCTAAAACAAGTTAAGCCATGATCTACAGGTAAAAATTGATATCATAATACTTCCCCACTTGATCAAGCACAGTACATTAAGACAATTATTTTGTATTCATATTTCTTATGAAGTATCGGAACGATTTGATTTCCGTTATTTCCACCTGCACTGTAAAAAAAAAATATCTTCAAGATTTGTTATCACAATACATTTTTTTTTTGTCAAATCAACTTTATAATAAATTATTTAGTTGAGATAACTTATTATTTTGAGTTTCTGATGATTAAATTAATCTCCTTCATTGTATTAACTCACTTTTTCCAGTTCAATCAACTTAAAATTTTAAGGCAACCCAGGTTACTTACTTTTTTTAAGTTAAAGCAACAATATTTTTTTACAGTGTAGTAATCACAACATTTTTTCTTTTGTCAAAGCAACTTAAATAATTTATTTAGTTCAGATAACATATTATTTTGAGTTTCTGGTGATTAAATTAATCTCCTTCATTATATTAACTCACTTTTTCCAGTTCAATGAACTTAAAATTTTAAGGCAAACAGGTTACTTACTTTTTTTAAGTTAAACCAACAATATTTTTTTTACAGTGAAAAAACACTTTAAGCCATGAACTACAGGTACAAATAGATTTTAACTATAGATACTTCCACACTTGATTTTCCTGATATGTTGTTTTAATATGAAAAGTACATCTAATTAAGATCTATCTAATTAAATATGGACTCGTTTGCAGTCTTGGGTGGTACTCATTACTAAGTAGCCTAATTAATTAGTGTTCTCCTGATGTCACTGCATTATAGACTATAGAACAATTCTATATTAAACAATAGTGGATTGAAAATTTAAATTTAACATACAGTATGTTGTTAAAATTATTTTTTTTATGTCACCTTCTCCCTTTAAATACTTCTAATTTTTCTGTAATTTAATTACAGTTACTTCTGTTGTAATTATATTAAATACTTTATAGACTATAGAACAATTGTAAAACAATAGTGGATTATCTAGTGGTAAAATATGTTTTTAAAGTAATCTTCTCCCTTTAAATACTTTGGTAAATTTATGCAAATTGGACTGCTAATTTAATATATATATATATATATATATATATATATATATATACACATACTGAATGTAGTATAATATTCTGTCAAAAGTTTCACCACGATTTTAGTAATAAAATGTTTATATATGTCAATGTTTATAATGTAAATATATATATATTGAAATGTATATGTTGCATAAATATTCACATTTTGAGTTTACACTTTTCCCAATGCATTTGGATGCTGTATAAATGTGATTGACTTTTCACAGGCATTCAACCAGCAGCCGCAGGAGCGTGTGAGATAAAAACTCTTGAAGGTAAGACAAATTTTCTGTTTTTAATATTAAGGTTGACATGAAACAGAAGTTGTGATAGTGTTTTCTTCCCTAATGTGACATACACACAAGTGAACAACACTGTAAAAAAAAATATTGTTGGTTTAACTTAAAAAAGTAAGTAACCTGGGTTGCCTTCAAATTTTAAGTTGATTGAACTGGAAAAAGTGAGTTAATACAATGAAGGAGATTAATTTAACCATCAGAAACTCAAAATAATAAGTTATCTCAACTGAATAAATTATTATAAAGTCGATTTGACAAAAGAAAATATGTTGTGATAACAAATCTTGTGCATAGGGCTGAATTTAATAGTTTATAAATTGTCATTCAAAATAAATTTCCTTATGGAGTTATGGAGAAACTGAATGGAGTTTTTACTTCCAGAACCGGACTGTTGAAGTCTATATCGAACCACCACTATCCAAACATCCAATCAATTCCCCACAGACAAAATTAAGCCCCGCCCTACATTTGTTCTTCACTGTAAAAAAATATTGATGGTTTAACTTAAAAAAAGTATGTTTGCCTTAAAATTTTAAGTTCATCGAACTGGAAAAAGTGAGTTTATACAATAAAGGAGATTAATTTAACTATCAGAAACTCAAAATAATAAGTTATCTGAACTAAATAAATGATTTAAGTTGATTTGACAAAAGAAAAAATGTTGTGATTACTATGGGGTTGTTAATCGATGGGGTTTGCTTCTGCGTTACTACAACTTGTATTTAAAATAATCGTGACTTTATCGTTGCCATGATTTTTGGAATGACTAAAAATTTTAGGTTTTAGTCGCATACTAAAATGAATGGCCTGTCAAATGTATTTTATATAAAGGTAAAATAACCTTGCATTTGTTTACCGTTGAAGTTGTCCGTTTTGATTTCATATGGACTGAGCTGTGTGTGATCACGCCCCTGCAGACGAGACGACGTACCACACGCTAGAGGAAGGCATGGTGGAGTATTGCACCACGGAGACGCCGGTGACGGTCAGCGCAGAGGCGCCGGTGGAGATGCTGGCAGCGCAGGCCGAATGCTCCGCCAAACCTCAGGAGCTGAAGAGCCGAATCGCTCTCAACTCGGCCAGACTTCTCCAGGAGCACCGCGTCACAAACCTGCACGTGCGTGAGATCGCCCAGCACCTGGAGAACCAGAACGACCTGCTCCAGATGATCCGGCGCTCGCAGGAGGCCCAGGCCTGCGCTCAAGAGAGACAAGCCCAGGCTCTGGAGGGCACGCAGGCCGCTCTGCTGGCCCTCATCCAGATGTTCAGACCCGCTCTGAAGGACCTGAGGAAGTTTCTGCAGAACACAAGCAGCGCCACAAACACAGCAGAGACCGCAGGGGAAGCGGTGGGGAACGCGCCGCCGTCCAAGCCTTCAGACGGACCCTAGAGATGAGGGACGAGTGACAGGTCCGGGTCTGGGATAGACTGTAAATTATTGTACAGCACTGTGCCTCAAAGAGTGTGTGTGTGGACGTTTCAGGGATATCAAGAAGTGGAATTAGGACTTTAAAGTGCATTTTAAAGAAGTGGCCAAAATCTAAAATGCATGGAAGCTTGTTTTCCGCCACAGAAAAAAGGTAATTGCGACTTTTTATCTCACAATTCTGACTTTTTTTCCTCAGAATTGAGTGATATAAAGCCAGAATTGTAAGAATGAACTCGCAATTGCAAGAAATAAATGCGCAATTCTGACTTTTTCTTAGAATTAAATGTTTATATCTTGCAATTCTGACTTTACAACACGCAATTAGGAGAAATAAAGTCATAATAGGGAGATAAAAGTCATAATAATCATAATTAAGGTCAGAATTGTGAGATGTAAACATGCAATTCCAAGAAAAAGTCAGAATTGCGCATTTATTTCTTGCAATTGTGAGTTCATTCTTACAATTCTGACTTTTTAACACACAATTAGGAGAAATAAAGTCATAATTGGGAGATAAAAGTCATAGTAATCATAAACAAGGTCAGAATTGCGAGATGTAAACATGCAATTCTGAGAAAATGGTCTCAATTATCTTTTAAAATGTTTTATTCGTGGCTGAAACAAGCTTTCATTAAAATGTCGTATAGTTACGTTTTACTTTAAAAAGAGCATTTTCGTGCTTGAAGTGAAACATTTTCAGTTTATCTTCAACTTGTTTTATTTTTTTACATTTGGTTGCTTAAAAAGCAAATAGATTGCAACAAACTTGATTCGATTTTTTTTTTGTCAACACCAACGTCATATTTCTTTAACGAAAGCGTTAAATGCAAACGCCCAAAACACACTTTCTTCTATTTGTGTAGATAATCGAATGGCTCCTTTTACAGGTGAGGCCTTGCAAGACTTTGTGGAGGATTTTGTTTCTTTAGCTTTTGACAATAACATTTTTATTTATGTATGTAAAATAAAGAAACTCTCCACACACGTGTGAGTGTTCATTTGTGTTTTATTGATGCTAAAGCCTCCTTATTTACCTGTGCTCAAAAGTCCTGATGTCTAATATATTCATGTACAGTCAGATGCGTCAATGCTTGACAATATAAATACACAATTTGTATATATATATTCTATTGGAAGATATTCTCAAATGTCTTTAATTCTTATGCCTTTATATGTTTTTCAATGGCATCATGTGATCAGATGGAAGTGAAGACAGACGCGTCTGTTGAATTGTACCTTTTTTGTGTAGTCTGATAATACTTTGTATATTTGACACTTTTAGTTCTTTTTTTAGTGTCGTTGCGAGCTCAGTAATGCATTTTCGTAAACTTGATATTGCATTTTATTGTTGTCCTTCGTTTTACTGGTGAAGCCATTCACACGCAGTCTCTTACATTACAGAAACTCTTGATACATTTATTTTTTAAAACTAACTTATTTGTTTACCTCGCAGTAGATCTATATCCAAACATGTTTTTATTTTAATTATATGTTATTCATTTCACTTTTAATAGATCCCTACTCTAATTTAACAATATGATATGATTTCCTTTTACTTTTCACATTGCAATTTGGAAAAGTGTTTTTCTGGTTACTGTTTTTGTGATGCAGCTTTCATGTAGTTCACTTTACCGCCACTAGAGAGAGACAAAATGCTGCATATGTCATCTCGTATATTAAATGTTTGTATCAATCAACATAGGAAACAGTTGTGCTTCTTATTTTTTTTTATAACCTGTGATACTATTTTTCAGGATTCTTTAACGAATAAAAAGTTAAAAAGACCAGTATTTATTTAAAACAAGTTCAATAGAATTCATCCATGAATCCTAAAAAAGGAGGTTTTTAGGATTCATATCACAGGTTCAAAAAAAAAAACTGTTTCCAACATTGATAATAAATCCTCATATTAGAGTGATTTCTGCAGGATCACGTGACTGGAGTAATGATGCTGAAAATTCAGCTTTGATCACAGAATATAAATTACATTTGAACATATATTCACATAGAAAACCATTACTTCGAATTGATATAATATTTCACAATATTTCATTTTTTTGATCATATAAATGCAGCCATGAGCAGAAGAGACTTCTTTTAAAAATCCTAAAATAGTAATGTGTGTGTGTGTGTGTGTGTGTGCGGGTTTTATTGACTCTTATATTACAATTAAACTGATATTGTATGTATTTTATAAAGAACACAACATTACATTTGGAGAACAATACAAACATTATTAAATATTTTTAAATATTTAAGTTATATTTAAAAATATATTGTTAATGGCCTGAGAGAAATCAGTGTGTGTGTATGTGAAAGAGAGAGAGAGAGAGAGAGAGAGAGAGAGAGAGAGAGAGAGAGAGAGAGAGAGAAAAGAGGGGGCGGTGCTTCGTTATCCCTGTAGAAAAACTAAACACGCACGCAGTGATCCAGGCAGGGACAGATTCATGTTCATATACACAGAAGACACACACACACACACACACAGATAGACACAGGACAGACAGAAACACTACAGACGTGAGTTCACGCGATTAGCGTTAATGTTTCTAATGTTTAAAAGGTTGACCGTTAATTCGCGCGCGCACGAGAAAAAACCTGAGGCGATTGTTTGTTCGCGGGTTTGTGAACTAAAACCTGACAATAACAAAGAAACGTTTTTTTTTCTTCTAAATAAAACTATAAAATATAATTGTATATATTTGTTGATATGTTAGTGTTCATCTGTTCTCATGTTAGTTGTGATTTGTGTGTCCCCCCCACAGATGATCATGATGATCCTACAGAGAGAGTTTCCACTGCCAGATTAAAACCGTCACACCGCCTTCAGTCCAACATTGGGTTTCTTCAGCGGGATAAATCATCCAGAGCTCGAGTTCATGGCGTTTCTAGTGAAGAAGAAGAAGTTTAAGTTTCAGACTCATGTCACTCTGGAAGAGCTGACATCCGTGCCGTTTGTCAACGGGGTTTTGTTCTGTAAAATCAGACTATTGGATGGAGGAGACTTCACCTCTGTTTCATCCAGGTAAAACACTTCATCATCTTCACCATTTGTTTATTCGTTGTTTTTATTGAACCGGTAACTACTGATGGTAAAGTACAGTTATGGTCGGAGTGTTTACATTGTGCATTTAAACGAATACAATGGTACTAAACATGCAGAAAAGTCCTGAAAACTAAGTTACCAAATAATCTGTTCTGTGGTATAGTACATGTTTAGCAGGACCATCTTGCAGTGTTATTTAAATATTAGGCTATTTATGTTCATAGGTTGTAAATGTTTTAGATTGCTTTCAAAATTTAAGGTTGTCATCTTGTTGCATTCTTGTCATCTTTGTTATTAGTTTTCTAAATAAATGTGTCTAGTTTTTGTTTCATTATATTTTGTTCTAGTTTTTGTTATTTTAGCACATCAAGTTAAAATAACTGAAAATGCTAGCTTAAATAAAAGTAAAAGTATGTTTTTATTAGTGCTCTCAAATTCATTGATCACATCTTACAAAGTTTGTTGTGTATATAAAATATAAATATGTGTGTGTGTGTGTGTGTGTTTGTGTGTGCATACAAACTTTTATGTTAGATGCGATTAATCACGATTAATTGATTTGGAAGCCCTAACTTTTAATAAGCAGTTTTTTGGCAGTATGATTCTAAGAGATTAAAACATTTTTTGTTTAATTTTAAATTTTTCTTAACATTGGTTCTAAAGTAACACTCTTAAAGGGTTAGTTCACCCAAAAATGAAAATTAAGTCATTAATTACTCACCCCCATGCTGTACCAACCCCGTAAGACCTTCGCTCATCTTCGGAACACAAATAAAGACATTTTTTTATTAAATTTGAGAGCTGTATAACTACCACATAGGCTCCGAGACTTTAATACGATTACCACGACGCATTCGCGAGAACTGAACTGAAGTAGTTGAAGGAGATCGCAATTCTCGCGCGTGCGTCGTGGAAATCGTATTGAAGTCTCGTTTCAGGCCAACAAGGAAGAAAAGGAATAGTCGAATAAAGTCGTTGTTTTTTTTTCGCACAAAACGTATTCTCGTCGCTTGCTAAACTTATAGTTGAGCCACTGTAGTCACATGGAATATTTCAACATTTTCTTCATTGACTTTCTGAGCCGACAAGTGCCAGTCCCTTAGGAGCCTATGTGGTAGTTATACAGCTCTCAAATTTATTCAAAAATATCTTCATTTGTGTTCCGAAGATGAACGAAGGTCTTACGGGGTCGGTACAGCATGGGGGTGAGTAATTAATGACTTAATTTTCATTTTTGGGTGAACTAACCCTTTAAGGTGTTGTGGATGGTTGCCAGGGCGTTGCTAAGATGTTTTTTTATTGCATGTTGCGGTGTGGTTGTTGGGAATATTCATGAAGGTTGCTAATGACAGCTACTTGGATGCTTTCTGCATTATTTGAGGAATCATTTATGTAGATGATTGATATCAAAGGGGGTTAAATCTGACCACTAACCCTTGATATAAATATAATAGTGATGCTTAGCATTTTAACCAGCACTACTGATGTGTTTCTCAGTTCATCTGCTTGTTTGAGACGGTTGCATGAGGATGTCGATCGTGGCATGTGATCAGAGGGAAGTGAAGACAGACGCGTCTGTTGAATTGTTGTACTTTTTTGTGTAGTCTGATACTCCTGTCCATATTTTCCTCTTCTTTTGCGCTCAGTAATAGATTTGCATGTGTGATCTTGATATTGAATTTTATTGTTGTCGTTCGTTTTACCAGTGAACTCAAACACTGTAGCCATTCACACACAGTCTCTCACATTACAGAAACACTGAGTTTAGGTGTCCCATAAATGGACTCATAAAGAATGGTTGTAAGTCTTAATCTATGCATAATAACATCTTTATTTGAGCGTGATTCACAGGCGGTCAGATTCAGAAAGCTCTGCTGTTTTTCAAGCAGTCCAATGTCTTTTCTCCTCTTTGCTCATCGCTTTCAGAATAACAGGAAAGACTCGCTATCAATATCGCTGTTTCACTCGAAAGTTAAATAAAAATGCATCCAAAAACCAAGATATGTTGCAAAACCAAAAGTCTCTGTATAACTTCTTATTTTTAATATTTATAAGCAAATTACACAAGCAAAAGTGCTGTTTTCCCAAATATCAGCACTTTTGCAAATGTGATATTGATCACTGATCTTATACAACAATTCAATAAATGATATAATAGGCTATTGGGTGACTGACTTTTTAGACACAATAGTGTCAGGTTTTTCCTCTATTTTGCCAACAAAAGTAGAGCCGTTGCAAAACGTCTCCGAGCAAAACGAGTTTCAGTTTCGTTACTGAATGAATCCACGTTTTTTAATGAATCATTTCATTAAAAATGAAATGATAGACTTGACGACTCACTTCTGCTCTGTCCCTGAATGAATCAGCCATTTTGAACGAATCATTTGATTGAATGATTCAATGACTAACTCATTAACACAATGAAAGTCTCTCTCAAAGTGCTTGCTACGGATGCGCCAAATTCTTCCCTCATTTTTTTTTTATGATGGACAAAAGTTTTAGAGAAAGTGTGTAAACGTGATTGACACGTGAGGTCGTATTTATTTTTAAACATGCGAAAGTTTTGGGTGAGAATATCGGACTTGGTGTGCAAGGACCTTTAAATAAAACACAACTGAGATCTCCATTTAGTCAACTGAGGTATGAATGAGAAACATCTGAGCAATACAATATTAGTTTGCATGGGATATTAAGCAAGAAAAAGCACTGATTTTATTTCAAAAGTTACACTTTGATGAAAGGTTACGAGGACACCCATTTTGCATTTAGCAATAAGTCATTTGCATTAAGACCGGGAACATGCTTTAAAATAGTTTGATTTCATGCCGACTGAATTTAGCTTGCGTTCTCTTATAAACGGACCCAAGCTCTCGTTTATTTCTTGTCCTTTTAACATTCTCATTCAAGTCACACACATTCTCCTGTCTTGCAGCCTTCAAACACACACGTACACACAAACCTCGCAGCACAGAAACCGCTTTTGTCCTGGTTTGTTTGGCAGGAGGAAGTCAAATGCGAGCGCGTGGAGACGGTTGACCGACAGAGACGTCGTGAACGAGTGAGAGGAAGTTCAGATGAGTTTATAATCTGTCCGGTCCAGTTTAGCATCCAACTGTGTGCATGTCTTGAGTTTGAGGATTGTAGGATGCTGTTGATATTCGAACAGAAGATGTTTTGCAGGAAGTTTGCTGCTTAATGGGGTGTTTGGATTCACACGGTTTCAGACAGACAACAGGAAAATTAGTCAGGAAGCAGGAAGAACGAGGCCGTCAGCTGTTCTCTGTCTCAGGACAATAAATGAAATGCAATCCCAATTTTAATGCTGAGTGGTATATATCTACATCTTTTATGATCTAATAAATATTGTCATATTTTTCATATTTCGCTCTCTCTCTTGTATTTATTAATTCTTTACTTTGACTTTTTGACTACATGTTGACTAGAAGTGAAAAACAAATCAAGACTAGACTTTTTTTCGCACAAGGAAGAATTGTAGTTAATCATTTTCTTTAATTTGCACCAATATAACAATTCTTAGCCATAAACAACAGCATTCTTTACATCCATATATTGCTACTAAAACACATGCCACACATGCACTTCTGTAAACATTTTTGGAGTAACTCATTGCGTTCTGAATCAATTTATTGAAACTGACAGTTTGATGTGATTCATGAAATTATTTTAACTCTTTTCTCCATTTTGCTGCCTTGAAAATAGCCATAAACAGCTATAAAAACAAACTTAAAACCATTTCGAGAGGCACTAATAAAACATCTTTGACTTTATGAACAATACTCAAGATTTTATTGTATATTTCCGCTGCATTGCTTTTTGTTAAATGTGTTTTCAGATGAGCTTCTCTGCCTTTAAATGCTTGTAACAGTAGCAAAAGAGTTTCAAAAGAACAAGGCAAATGCTGTTTTCCATGATGTGACGCCTTTAAATAGTGTCTGACCTATTTATAAATGTCTAAATACCTACCAGACACATAAATGCAGATTGTTATAGATAGAAATGTAGTATTTTCTATGAATAGTATAGGCTCCCATAGGAATGTTGGGTGGGCCGAATCTTCGCCTGTCCCAGCCGTTAGCCAGCCTCATAATTAGGAGGGTTCGGCCTGGAGTTAAATTAAAAGCATCACAATCTCATCCCTCATTCGCCTGCATGAGCACTGGGACAGTATGTCTTTAGAAGGGTTGCTAATTTCATATTTCATTGATATTTATAGCACATTCTTCTCTCTGTTATATAATACCAAAAGCCTCTCAGTTTTGTATTTCCTGTCGTTCATCAGGGACACCGAATAAGGTAGTTTAACGAACATCTACGCGTATTTTCCATGTGATGATAGTGTCCAGAGACAAAAGCAACTTAAAAGCGGTCCATTCGACTTCAGAATATCTCTTTTTCTTGTGTTGCATGTATTAATGATTTGCACTGATTTGAGGATGAGTGAGTAAACGTTGAATTTCTTCAGCGAGCAATTGCAATCAAGGTTTTGGTGTTTTACTTTAATTGCAGGTTTATTTGTCATCCGTGCTTGATCTATTACAGCTATGTGCTATAGTTGGAAACTTTAGGGCTTTTAGTTGATTAAAGAGTTCACTTTTGCTGATAATTTACTCACCCCCATGTCATCCAAGATGTCCACGTCTTTCTTTCTTCAGTCGAAAAGAAATTAAGCATTTTGATGAAAACATTCCAGGATTTTCTCCATATAATGGACTTCAATGGGAACCAAACGGTTCAAGGTCCAAATGAGAGTTTCAGTGCAAACTGTTCAAAGGGCTTTAAACGACGCCAGACGATGAATTTTGGACCCCATTGAAGTCCATTACATGGAGAAAATCCTGGAATGTTTTCATCAAAAATCTTAATTTCTCTTTCCTAAAATGCATAATTTTGTTTCTCAAAAGCATTGTGAGTGAAGTTGATGTGGAGACCATTGGTGGCAAAGGTCGATCCTCTTAGGC